ATATTTTCCGCTGTGATATTTTTGAAGTGCAGGCTGATGTCGTCCATATAAGCTTTCAAGCTTACCCCGAGGTGGTCGTACTTGGCTTTAAGCTTCAAGACGATCGGGACTAAGATGAAGCAGAACAGGGGCGGTCCCATTCCATCTCCTTGCTGCACACCGTTCTTGCACTCGATCGTCCGACGCTCTCCCGAGTCCATCGCGTATATCGCCTTTGCCGGGATTTCGTCGTAACACCTGGCGATGTACCCCACGAGATCTGAGACGCTCTTTGCGGCCTGGGCCATTATGGCGGTGCGCTTGCCCGTGTTGAAGGCATTTGAGCAATCCGTCTGGACTACCCAATGACCTGTCTGATGAACCAGTTGTGCGTCCATCGCAACTTGTTCAACTCCTCCAGCTACCGCCACTCCGAATTGGTCCGCTTCCCAGAATATTTCTTCCAGTTTCGGTTTCTACTCCTTGACCGTTCCCGCTGCAATCAGCCTTTTCCAAGTCATTCCAATGCACACTGGACGGCACTTTTCACCGAGGGCGATTAGACTAGATTGTTTCTAAAGAGTCCAGAACTCCGGTGGGAACGCGTTGGGATCGTTAATGAGCCTCCTCCAAAGGGACAACATCTCGCTGCTGAACTCTTCCCGACAAATTTTAGTGTTGACGATGGACTTAAGGTGGGAGAAACGTTGCCCGTCATTTCCTGCTCCAGAGTTAGAGCTTCTGCTGTTGATGACTTGAAGGAGTACTTGTGGATCGAACTCGGTTTCTGGCCTCCATCTCGGGGCGCTTCCTTCCTCCTCCTCGGTGCGGCTTGCAGCTATGGCTTCGGCGATGGCCTGCTCCACTTGAACGGGATCCTCATGCGGNCCTCCATCTCGGGGCGCTTCCTTCCTCCTCCTCGGTGCGGCTTGCAGCTATGGCTTCGGCGATGGCCTGCTCCACTTGTACGGGATCCTCATGCGGAAATTTGGCTTTCAGACGTGCCCATGTCTCGTCGTTCCCCGGTGACGGTTGATCGGCTAGGAGCGCTCTTGCTGCGTCCTTCACGCCTCCAGAGTGCCGGCACGCCCTCGCCGCCCTTTTGAACTTGTCGTCGGGTGTGTCTTCCCGTGCCGGTCCCCTGCTCCTTGCACTCGTCGCCTTGGTATACTCAATCAGCCAAGGAAGAATGGACGGACGATATATCCCCTCTTTTGAGCGAGTTGTAGCGTTTTTTTCGAGCTATCCGACCATCAAAGGAGTGCAAAGTACCTGGTAGGAGGTACCAAAATTTGATGACCCGGATGGTGGAAAGTGGGGTCCCGGTCGCCGAGGAAGCTCCGCCGCCTTCTGCTAGCTGCTTGTTAACAAGGTGGAGCACGTGAGTTTGGAGACGGGCATGGTCGGAAGCAAACCTAGGTTGAACTTTCTTCACCGTCTGGAACCTGAGTGAGAGATCATCCATGCTGACATCGTCCAAAGCAGGCCCTATTCCCGGACTGTCTTGGTTCCAGATGTACAGCGGACGTGCTCCGTGGGGTTCGTCGTTTAACCCCCTTATCAGTCTTTCAGCTCGTAGCTGCAGCCCCGGGTCAGCTTGAACCGCCGCCTCCAGGCTGTCCCTCCGAGAGTGTTGGGCCCCGCACCCGTGCACCCTACACTCAAGCAGCGGCATCTCCGCGTCCCTCTAAGCTAGATAGTACGCATCTTGCGTGGATGGGATGCCCGCAAGTTNACAGCGGACGTGCTCCGTGGGGTTCGTCGTTTAACCCCCTTATCAGTCTTTCAGCTCGTAGCTGCAGCCCCGGGTCAGCTTGAACCGCCGCCTCCAGGCTGTCCCTCCGAGAGTGTTGGTCCCCGCACCCGTGCACCCTACACTCAAGCAGCGCGCGTTCTCCGCGTCCCTCCAAGCTAGTTAGTACGCATCTTGCGTGGATGGGATGCCCGCAAGTGGGTTGCACCACACGGTGTCCCTCGATGACCTGACCCGAGCACACTCCGCATCTTGTACTGGAACGAGGGTGCTCGCTTCTGCTCCCCGTGGCGCCAGGTTCCATGCTTCCTCCAGCGTTCCCGTTCCTGATCGCTCGGTCATCGGCACCCGGAGTACCCGTTCGTCCCGATTCCCTTCCCCGGTGTGTTCGTGCCGGATGTGATGGCGTTCCTCTTTCTCGCGACTCACCGTCTGGATCCGGTTCACTTCCCTGCCGGCGTCGCCTGTTTCCGCCTTGAGGTGGTTCCGAGGAAGTTCGTTGACGTTCACCCGATGTAGTAGCGTCATCCGATAATCCGCTACCCTCGCGAGCAGATGGTCTGCGCCGCCTTGGCGTTCCTAGTGATTGGCTTCTTTCCCCGGGTCTTACTTGAGGGCTCGTCCGACTGGTGGCGTGTGCTGTTGTGGATGGGTTTCTCGGGGACAACAATCCTTCTTCCTCCTCTGGGCCGCTTCCCATGTCAAAGCCCGGGTCGATGCCGACTCCCGTCACCCTTCATGGGGCCACGACAGTCGGGGTCACTGTGTTTCTGCTAGTTTCGCCTCCTTGGTGGGGTGGGACATGGTGTTCATCCCAGTCGTCGTGGCGCCGGGCCACCCCCGCTACCCGCGGGAATGGCGGCAGAGGTTGGCCGGGGTTGCGTAGGGCGTTCTGTACTGCTACGGTGTATAATGTGAGATGCGATTCGCACTCCTGGTCCAGGTGCACCAGGTATTCCTGTACGTGTGGCGCAATGTAGATTCTGCCCCGGGGGAGCCGCAATAGCACCTGATACGGCCGTATTCCATGGGCGTAAAATGTAGAGCGGTATCTCTGGACCAACCGGTCCCACCCGTTGTCCTCGTTGCGGCCCCGAGGCAAGTATATGTACACGCTTCTGTCCATCCCGAATACGTCGCAGAACAGAGTGAACAGGAGCCAGGAAGCCGTCTCACTTCTCCCGTGGGCCCGCACCACACTCTCGAAGGAGTCGAAACGCCCCGCCGGGTCCGCGCCGGATCTCGGACATAGAGCATGTCTTGAAATGTCCCTCTATCTCGGATGCGAAAGACACTGCCTCCCTCAGGAAGTCCCACCGTCCCCCGGCGTGCGGCAGTTCGTAGTTCTGG